AATTTGTTGGATAATTGGATATTTGAACTTACATGCTTATATATTTGGTTTGATTTTCACTTTCATTTTGAGCTTAATGTTTATTTTTGCATCATTTACATATTAGTTGCATTATGACCAATTTTGTCATGTCACATTGTTTATGAATATTGATTATGAAACTAATGGCTAACGTTTCTCTTGATTGTGATCTTAGCAGCTTAAGCTATTTATCTATATATAATCAGTTGGCTGAATGATTTTAAAACCTTGTTTAATATCTTTTAAAAGTCTTTTTGATTTAACAAAAAGGGGGAGAAATGTTAAAAATGTTTTAAAGGGGAGAAGTGTTAGAGTAAGGGGGAGTAATTTCAAACTTGATTTCAAAATAAAATCTTAAAATTACTAAAATGTTTTGTTATATCAAAAAGGGGGAGATTGTTGAAAACATTTTGATGTTTCGATATAACAAATTAAGTTAAATGAATTTTAAGATTTTACAAAATATTTTCTAAGTATATTCGATATAATTATTCGAATATCAAAATATTACTCCAAATATTTCAAATGTCATTTTTAATCCTTACTCAAGTGTAAAATTAAGTTTTAATCTTAAAACAATTTCAAAACAATTTTACAAAATATTTCGAACCATTTCAAAACCAAAAATTCCAGATTGCTCAGAGGGAACTGATTCCCCCCCAAGGGGGTACCGATTCCCCCTGTTTAACGGTCGAAATATTTGAATTTTACACTTAGGGAACCGATTCCCCATGAGGGGTACCGATTCCCCCCACGCTCCAAGCTGTTGTATTAATGGTTTTCACACTTAAACAACTCCATTGACTCCACTAATCATCCCCAACGTTCAGAATCTATTGAGGGAGTATTTAAACAAGTTCCGAAGCCTTTGATCAACAAGAAATTATAGAGAAACAAGAGAGAAATCATCAAACACCAAGTTTATGCAAATCAAACCAATTTTCCTTTCAATATTCATTTTGCTTTCAAGAACACCATTTGTGCTCATTTGTAATTATTTTCGAGTGTTCTTCTCTTGTTCTAGAATTGTGCAAACATCTTACCTTGTAAGTTTGCAAATTTGTGTATTTCTCTTTGAAAAAGAGTGTGCTCAAGAATTTGGGGTATAATTCTTGAGGGAGTTGTAAGGTTACTCTTTGTCCTCAAAAGAAAGAACAAATTAGTGAATTTGTTGGAAAATCTTTAGTGTGGATAGCTAAGGTAGTGGACGTAGACTTTGGTTGAGAAAGTCGGACCACTCTAAATCGTTGTGCAAATATTTTGAATTTTCTACAAAAGCTTCCACCAAAATTTTAATTGCCAATTCACTCCCCTCTTAGCCATTTCCATCAATCGATTAACTCAACAATATCTAACGTTTAGTTTTGATTTCATTTTGGTCACTCGTCATTAAAAAATAACGCTGATTAAGGATGGACGTAGAATTTTATGCTAAAGGCAAACTTCTAAAATTTTAGGAGGGGTTGAACTTAAAAAATTCTGAGGGACGAAAACAGATTTTCAATTGAAAATACATAGAAAAATATATAATATATGATAATTTTAAATTTTCAGGGATGACTATCCCCCACACCCCTTTAGTCCATCCCTAACGGTGATTCTGACGTGTTACCATAAGGTAATAACACACCATCATTAAAAAAGTAATTATCACGTCAACAAATTTATTTACGTGATAATTTTTTTTTAACGGAGACAATCAAAATGGAATAAAAACATAATTTTAGTGATGATCTTGAAAAAAATAGTTGGATGACCAAAACAAAATCGCTAGAATAGTTGAGTGACTAAATATATAGTTTACCCAATAATATAAAGAGTACACTATGTATTTATTTAGTCACCCAACTATCACTTTAGTTCTGTTTTGGTCACTAAACTAATTTTCTTTTTCAAAATTATACCTAAAGTTATGTTTTGATTCTGTTTTAGTCATTCGCCTTTAAAAAATTCACGATGATACTGTCGCGTCATCATTAAGAAAAATTAGCAAGTCAATAGTTATATTTATTTTTTAACATTAGGTGATTAAAATATAACCAATATATAATATTACGTATAATTTTTTATTAAAATGTAGTTTGATCATTAAAATGGAACCAAAGTAATAACTAGGTGACTAAATGAGGGATGTATAAGGAAAGACAACCTAATATAAGGCTAAGAAAAGGTGATACCGGAAATGTAATATTTTTTTAATATTTTCGATAGAGCGCTACTTAAAATGTTATTTTTTATACCAGAAATATTAATATAAAAATATTCATTTTAAGTAATGAAATTAACGTTTTTAATAAAACAAATAATATTTTAAATAACATTTTACTAAAAATATTTAAAAAAATATTAATATTTTCAAAAACACCTTTTATTATCCTTATATTATTGTTAGATCATAACTATCCGACTAAATGCGTTGTTTCCCTTGATATAAAATGGGCATCAATGTCCAGGTCATTGGGGGCGGTGAGGCTTAAAGTTGTTGTCTTTAATCCTCGAGATGAGACAGCCATGCAAATGTTGGTTGGTGATGCCTTTTCTCTTTCATTATTGCTGCAATAATAATAATAATAATAATATGGGTATACATTTTTCAGGGGTTTGGGGTTTGCAAAATCATCCATTAATGCCACCAAAACTACAGCATCCAGATTTAAATAAAAAGAAAATGGAGGAAAGACATAATAGAGGCGTTGGACAAAGCAATTATGCGGACAAATTTCTGATCTTTTTCTTCTAGACTTCATTACAGAAATCATCTGATTCTTCTTCTGATCTATTCAATAAATAAATAACAGTGGACATGCGTGGGTTGGTTACTGGGCTAATTTGGTTTCGTTTCTAATAAATAAATGAACACTCCGAATCTGAGTGTCCCAAATCCTGAAGAAGGCAAAACTATTGTCCAGGACACAGACAAAACAGCTTGCAACGGAGACAGAGGAGAAAGCCAAAAGGAAACGAAACACTAAAAAATAATGTAACAACTCGGAAATTTCCCAATACCCAAAGGATGGAGTTAAAACAATGTGAAATTTCCCAAGTACCATACTGAAAATCTTGAATTTAAATAGTTATACATGTAAGATGTGTATGCATTATTAATGACTAAAAAAAATTCTGAATAAATATTATTTTGTTAATGGTGAATTCAGAAATATTTTTTAGTGTAAGCACACATGCATTAATAATATGAATTTTTCGTATGAGGTAGGTATAAATAAAATTTTAGTGTGTGCACGCACAATCAATAGCATCGGTAAATAATCGGAAAAAAATTAGATTTCATGGTGAGTACGTTCCCACCTTAATATAAGATGGATATATAACTATATCTTCTAATCATTCTAGACTATTAAAAAAACAACTAATCCTCATAAAAATATTCTTTTATTTTTTCCCCAAATGACTAATATTCAATCTATTAACAGATTAATCTAATTTAGCTAATTTTATAATAATTAATTTTATTCATAAAGTCAAAATATATAAAATTAATATTTTATCTTATTAAACCAATTAATTCTAATTCTTTATACCGAAACGAGGTTTTTGAGCTTCGTTTGGGTGTTGCTGTATGTTCTATGAAAGGAACGACAAGCCAAGCCCAATCTAATTAGAGGATACCTTAGCTAAAATCTGTGTGCTGGTGTCCAATCAAATCGAATCACCCTCAAAAATATAATTCCTTTTTTCTTTTGAAACTCTGAATGATTTTTGCTTAATGAAAAAAAGGCTGAACAGTTTATGGAGTCCTCAAACTTTGTAATTGAGCATTTAAATTCAGAAAATTAATAATAATATAAAAATATTAAAAGCAAAAAGAGAAAACTTTCAAGGAAACTTTTGAAGAAAAATATTTGTTGTTTTACTTGTTCCAATGAAAAATATATTCAAGGAATAACATTAAAATCAATTTGACAAGATAGAATATAATATTTTTCGATGAAATTATTATTTTTAATTCTTTGTAAATATTTTAAAAATATTTAAAAATAAATAAAGTATATTTTTAGATTTTGATTTTTCAATAATTTATCATTCTATAGTTTCTAATATACTTTTATTTATTTTTAAATATTTTAATGATTATTTATATATATTTTTAATATTTTTGTTAAAGATTAAATATTCCTTCAGTTTAAAAAAAAGTAAATTAAGCCCTTAAACTTTCTAAACTAATCAATTAACGATAATAATTAACGATATTTGGTTCCCGTTTTCCATAGAACCCTCAGGAAGCACAGTCCAACTCATTTAGTTCCATTAAGATATGTGCATGAAGACACCCAAATAGGAGGGGATTATATACCAGCAGGAATTGAGGTTGGTTTTTCATCCTTTTACTTTCTAAAAAGACACTATATTTTGAACAGATTGCTATTAACATATATGGCTGTAGCATGGACAAAAATCACTGGGAAAACCATGAAGAATGGAACCCAGAAAGGTTACCTTTCTCTTAAATTATTTGAGTTCGAATAATCTTATCACAAATAAACCATATTGACTAAAACACTACCTTGTATTGCTTTCGTAGCCAGATTCATAAATCTTTAACCTATGCTCAATGATGGTAACATGCCTCAAATAACCCCTTTGGGTCATTGATCAGTAAAAGATGAAACTTTGTCAGATAGGTTCATCATTTTCAATCATATATATGTGACCATACATAGATAGCAACACTTTGATTCCTTCATCAGTTGGACGTATACGTAGAATACTAGAACCTGTCAAACCAACTTTAAAACTAAACAAGAATAGTGTTAGGTTCCATGCTGAGTGCCATACAGTGACAATGAAACCCTATTAATTATGCCTGTTGCATGCGTATTCTGACAAGTTGCCCTTAATTTTCGGGTTCATTAATAGTTTCCCTACATGATGATTTACAGTGTTTTGATTCATAATGATGATGTCAAGATAATAACTACAGTCATTTCAAACATTCAGATAACTTCAGACGAAAGAAATGTTCTGGACAACATTACGAGTACATCTTTCTTTGTTTTAAGACAGGATAAGGATAACTCAAGGAGCCAAAAATGGAAAATTTTCAGAGATACAACGTGCAATATTATATATAACATGATTCTTGGCTGACATTGAAACATCAAAAGCCAGTTTTAGCTGTTTTGTCATCTTCTTAACTGGGTTTGAAGAATTTCAACTTAAGTCCATTGTTCACTATACTCCAAACGCCACCAATGGAGAAGGCCAAGCTGAAGGCAATACCAAGCCAACCCAGGATCCAATTGAAATACCAATTGAAGCTGTATTTGGTTGGCCTTTTTATTAGAACCCACATGAAACATGGATAAGCAAACGTAACCGGAAGAGTGAGTCCTCCTAACAGTCCAGCAAGACTCGAAAGGAATGGCAGTGCCACCCCTATGAAGAAGTTGACAAATCCGTAGAAAACTCGAAAACCGGATCGAACCCAGATCGAGCAAGGCCGGTTTGTACGACTAGTATATCCTGCTTCAAAGCTATCGAAAACGGGCATTGAATATATTTGGAAACTGCTTAGACAGTTGAATACTACAAGAATAAAAGTCAGTGCAAGAAGCCCTCTTGGAATGTCGTGACTGTGAAACCCGTAGAGCGCATTCAGAATCCCTCCCGAAGGCATCTAAACAAGCGCAATTAGCAATGGATCGACATTATAGAAGATGAAATCTGCCAATATTGAAAAGGTGGAATGCTTACAAGGTTTCCATAAGCCCAAAAGCCTCCAACGGCAACAGGGAAAAGGCACATTGCAATGAAGAAATAAGCAACCTTCGCTCCTCTCCACATGGGGACATGAGCAGGGTGTTTAAATGTTGATGGCATTGTTGCCTGAAACAATCCATCTTACTAGAAATGACAGTGAAACATGTTTAATGGGAACTATCAGTCAATCGAACAGTACATACCTGAATCTCTAAAACTAAATTATGGCCTCTGAATGCAAATGCTACGATTCCAAGAGCATTCATGACAGAGAAGAAAGCTGCGGCGGATGATGGAAGTGAGAGAGGTTCATAAGAGATTGTAGGCGGCCTTTGTTGGCTAACAGAGAGCACCCACACCATAGTGGAATAAGTGATGGCCGTCACAGCTCCTACTAGAGAGAGTCCTGCAATAGAATTAAGATTCGGGAGCTGAGATAGGACAATGCACAACGAAGTGAACACCAGATACCACTCGACCGTTGTCAGAGGATTCGAGGAACATAGAGGCCCACAAACAATCTGGAAGAATAATTTCATGGTCTCCCCTCCTATGAGAATCAAAGCTGTTGCAGTTCCTGCTGATAAATAAACTGTTGGGAAGAGAGCAAGCCAAACTCCTAATCTTTCACCTTCATAACCAAAAAGAACATTAAATGGATACATCAAATTCCCAAAATTCAGAAATGGTTTGCTATTAACATGTTTTTACTACTTCTTAGTTAATTTTCGAAGCATATTTTCTCACCAAAAGCAGCTTGAGCGAGCTCCACATATCTATTGTACCTCTTTCCCGGGACAGCTTCATGTAACTGAACCAGAATCCATAAGGTATAAAGTTGCCAACAGTAGGCTATAGTTAAGGCCAATATACCCCAACTCCTGCACAAATAAAGCAAATCACGTTAGCAGTGTTCAAAATATTTTCTCTTATCATTTCAATGTTTCGTTTGACTCTCCAAGTTGCTTTCACAATTATTGCATCTATAGAATATTGGGACAAGGAAGCAGATCTGCCCACCCCACCCTCCCCACCAAAAAAAAAAACGAATCCAATGAAACGTTATTTTCAGACCAGCCCACATCAACATGTCTTGGATGATCAGTAAAGGTTGAATTCAATGGTTGTTTGCCAAAACTTGTACAAACAACTTTGGAAAATACTTTTTCATAATTTAAAACCATTAAAGGCAACATAGTTAATTTTTACAACATGCTTATCAGCTAATATGATGGTGTACAAAATCATGAGGAAGGGAGATCATGAACCAGGAAAAAACTTTATAATCAAAGATAAAGTGCCCCCAGGCCCCCACCCCAGCACACAGCTCAACTCCTTAGTCCCATAGTATGAATCAGAAAACAATAAGTGGACCCTCTACATCATATTCTCTAGAATAATTCAACTACTAGAAAATGGAAAGATAAGAGAGAAGGAAATGACATGATTTCTTTAATCTTTTTTCAATTCAAAACTATGATAAATTACAGTTAAGATGATAGTAAAGGATATTTAGGACCACACCCACATAAACTTTAGTCAAAACCCACAGACTGCAAGGCAGAAACAGAGCGACTTTCACCAGGAAAACAAAGAAAAGAAAGAGTGAGAATCACCTTGAAGGGACAAAAGAAAATGAACAAAAACTAAACTTAATGAATATTACTAAACAAAGCTAAAAACAAAAGCCTTAAACTTTGACATTCCCAGTTAAGCGAAGCTAAAAAGATTCATACCAGCCAAGAAAAGCAAAAGCGACAGGCAAGACCAGAGCTTGGAACCCAACCCCGGCATTGAGGTTATGAAACGCAGCGTAATGAGCGTTACCATTACGAGATTCAGTGATGGGAAGCCAAGCATCTTGAGGGTTGAGCTTAGTGAGATGACCCACTTCTTCCAAGTAACCTTTCATATTGATTAAAACCCTCTTCATTGGAGTCCCTATAGGACTCAAGAACCTCGGAGAAATAAACGACGTCGGCGTCCATGCCGACGACTTATTCTCCTTGGAAGCCGGTCTGGGAGACCTCTGTCCTGACGGCGTCTGTATCTCCGGCGTCGACACACGTGGCGTTGCCGGAATCGATATCAACTCTGTCTCTGGTCTCTCTTCCATTAGTAGAAAGATATGGAAATTGAGAAATGAAGCGAGTACGAGAAGATGGGGGAGAGTCGTTCGTTCGTCGTCTTTATATTTGTTCCTAGTTAGTAGTGACTGCCTGTCAGAGTTGAAGTACGTGAAAAAAATATTGAAAATGCCCGAAAAGGGCAAAAGAGAGGTGAGACGTGAGAATCAAAATTGACACATCTTTAAATCAACACCGTTCAACAACATTGAAGGGATAGTCGACTGTGTTAATGTCGTTAGGTGCTTAATCGGATCATATGGTAATGCAGCGAGTGTAAGTAACACCAACATATATATTATTTTATATTCATTCTAAATATATTAAAATAAATATGATAAGAAACACTAAAATTATTGATAATTAAATATAACTTTAATAAAATTATTGATAGTTATTGATGATTTTAAATTATTTTTTAAGAATAAATTATAAAATTTAAAATATAGAGATTAAAATAAAAATAAAAAATAATTTAAATAAAATAATGAGTTTTAAGGATTATATATTTTTGTGTGTTTAAGGATTATATTTTAATAATTGAATTATAAATATTTATAAAATTTAAAAAGACTATAAATTTATGTTTGGTGTCTAATTTAGGTGATTTTTTTAGTCTACGTAGTTTTTTGAGATTTATACGAAAACAAGATGTTAATGTAACTTATCATCATATTCATCCTAAAAAACATTGTTACTTTAATTTTGTATTTTAAATTTTTTATTGATAATTTTAGATATTTGATTTCATTCTTTTTATAATTTTCCGGATTTAAAAGTTTATTTTTGCACAAATATACTATAATTTATAAAAAATAATAATTAATAGACAGTTTTTGTAAATTTTATTTTGATCTCTATAATTTTAATTATCTTTCATTTTAGTTCATGTAGTGTAAAATATAATTATAATTAAATCGAACTCATCAACCATTGTTACCGACTCAAAAAATATCAAAGAAAAGTAAAAGTAAAAAATATTAATTTTTTATACAAAATTAAACATGTAATTTCACTTTAAATTTTTAAAAAAGTTTATTTATATCTCTATAATTTTAATTTTATTAATTTTTTTTTTACATAAACAGCTGAGCTGAGTATTGATAATTAGTATGAGAAATATATCCATTTAGAAATAAAAGATTGAAAATAAACATTGATTGTTTTGGGTGGAATTCTAATAAGAGAAAATAATCTCAGTGATCAAAAATGCCTTATAATATACGATTTTAATCAATTTTTTTTGGATTTGCCAAAATGATCAACTAAATCGCAATGCGATCGATAATTCGCAACGCGATCTCCGGTATCGTATATCAGTTTCCAGATTCGCAACGCGATTCTGACTATCGCATTGCGATTTTCCTAATTCGCAATGCGAATACGTAAATCGCAATGAGAATATGTAAATCGCAATGCGAATACGTAAATCGCAATGTGAATACGTAAATCGCATTGCGAATACGTAAATCGCAATGCGAGTATGTAAATCGCAACGCGAATCTGACTATCGCAACGAGATTCTGACTATCGCAACACGATTCTGACTATCGCAATATTGAATTTCAAATTCGCAACTCGATTTCTGAATTCGCAACAGGTTTTAGTTTCGCAACACAAATATTTTGGGTATATAACTACGCAGCAGCAGTAACTCATAACCTAAATCCCTAAATCGCAACTCATTCATCTCCATCTATCACTCTCTCCGGCGACATCCGTTCCTATATCCAACGACATCCTTCCCCATCCGGCAACAGGTTTTAGTTTCGCAGCTCGTTTGTTTAGTAAATTAATTTACAATAATGAAATCATCTAATGTTGATCATGTTTGGATAGATTTGTGTTTTGGGTCATGGGAGAATGTTCATGGTGTTTTACAATATATGCCTTTACCCATAAATATTCAACTAAAACTGTCATTAAAAAAGTTAACTTATGAAACTCTAATGTTACGTGTTGCAAATAAATTGAATTTAGAGTCCCTAAGTGGATTTAGGCTAACTTATCAGAGAAATGATAAAGTTTATTTGTTAACCGACATGAAGATGTTGAACGATTCATTGCTTACATTAGTGTTTCAAGTGATGATGTTACATTGTATGTTGTTGAACCTAGAAGTAGTGAAGTTGGGTCAGTAGCGGGTAGTGATCAACTAAGTTTTTCAACCCCAGTTTATTGTGCTCAAAATTTAATGGTTCCACCACAATTTCATCACCAAGCAAATATTGTTTCACCACATTTCCAATACCAAACACAATCTCAAAACCCACAACCTTTCCCTAATCCAAATCCCAATCAACTTTCAGCACCAAATTCCGGTTTTCGTATTGACCATTTAGACGATGATGAGCCAACAGAAAAAATTGTGAGTACTAGTCAGTATTCGAAATTTGATCTTGGTCAATACCCGGACTTTGATCTTGGTCAATACTCGGATTTTGATGATTTTTCAGAAAAAGAAACATACCTTGCGTGTAATGATTTTGATATTGGTCAATACCCGAATTTTGATGATGAAACAGCCGTTGCCGAGGAAGATGTTGTTGATGATAATGAGGAGGAAGTTATGACTGTAAATGAACATGTTGAACATCCATTCTGTAATTCATATAACCCTGAAGAAGAAAAAGAAGAAGAAGAAATCCCCAAAGAAAAGTCCCCGAAGAAAATGCCACGGGAGTATAACTGGAATATGCCAGAATTACTTCAGATACCGGAAGAAGAGTTGGTAAAGATAGCAGTTGATTGTTACACAAAAATTATTCGTATCAAGAAAGATGATTGTTTTGATACAAAGGAAGACTTGAAGATAGCTTTGTATACGAAATGTGTGGAAGATGGCTATCAACTAAAAGTTAACAAATCAAGCAAAGATCGTTTCGAAACAAGGTGTATGATTGACAAAAATTGTAGGTGGCGTATGATTGCAAAGAGGATAAAAGATTGTGAAAATATTTCAAGTTAGGAATTTTATTGATAAACATACATGTTCAAGAACCTAAATTTTTCCTCACCATAGACAGGCAAACAAAAAGGTGTTGGGTGGTTTTCTGGCTGAGTTAATGTTTTTGAATGGTAGGGTATATCGGAGACATTAAATTATGACTGACATGAATGCTCGGTTCAAGATTAGTATCTCATATTCTCAAGCTTGGAGAGCCAAATGTTATGTCTTGGAATTGTTGAGGGGGTCGCCAGAAGCATCGTTTGCCCAACTGCCGGCTTATTGTCACAATTTAAAGCTGAAAAATCCTGGGTCGGTAACTCATATCAAAACAGATAGAGATGGACGCTTTGAGTTGCTGTTTATCGCCATTGGTGTTGCGGTTAGTAAATCAATATAATTTTGTTGACTCATTTTTGTTAGTTACATGCATTTCACATTTAAATGATTATATTTCTTGTGTATATAATTTTGTAGATTCGTTCGTTTATTACTTGCATGCGCCCAGTTATTATAGTTGACGGAGCACATTTAAAAGGTCGATACCTTGGAGTAAACTTATTAGCAGTAGCCATGGATGCTAACAATAGGATACTGCCAATAGCTTACGGGGTTGGCAAATCTGAAACCTCTGATTCATGGACATGGTTTATGGGGCATCTTAGGGATTACATAGGTCCTATTAGCAATCTGACAATCATATCCGATAGGGCAAACTCAATTGACAACGCTGTTAGAAGGTGCTTCCCAGATGCTTTTCATGGACTTTGTGGTGTTCATTTGTATAAAAATCTAAAATCAAGGTCTGCTGGTATATAAAAATCACAAATGGACATACTAGAAGGCTGTAAAAGCTTATCGGGAAGTGGATTTTAATAAGCATATAAACTGTTTAAGACGTGTTTTGCCTCAGTGTGCTCAAACACTAGAAGATGTCGGGTTTGAAAGATGGTCAAGAGTACATCAACTTGGAGCAAGATATGGTTTTATGACGTCTAATAGTGCAGAATCAATCAACGCTCTAAGTCGTCATTCCTGGAAATTACCCATTACTATGTTAATGGAGTTTTTTCAAGCCTCTATTCAACAGTGGTACTACAAGAAAAGAAACCATGCAGGTATTATTTCTTTAAATTCGTAACTTATCATATATTTTACTAAGTATTATTTCTTTAAATTTACAGGAACATTGGAACATCGTGTTACACCATGGACTGAAAAAAAGATAACGAAACGTGTTGTGAAGTCAACGTCATAGAGAGTTGAACCATGTTCAAACACTTTGTTTGAAGTACTGGATAATAACTTAAATGGCCTTGTCGATCTAAATACAAAGACGTGTAGTTGTATGAAATGACAAACATCTGGTTATCCGTGTGGCCATGTTATAAAAGTTTCTCTCTTCATATAAACCAAGATGATTCAAGCGCATACGCTATGGATTGCTACACTACAGAAGTATATCGACAGACTTATGTCGAGATTGTCTACCCTATTCCACATCCTTCTGAGTGGGACATACCAGATGACTTACAAACAGTTTTGCCACCAGCCATGGACAGAAGGCTACCTGGCCGACCGAAAAGTCACGATCGTATACCGTCTAAGGGTGAAGAGAAGAAGAGATCGACATGTAGTCGGTGCAAGGAAAGTGGTCATACAAGGTTGACATGTGGATCACCAGTGCCATCACAATCATCTTTTCCTCTACCAAAATATGAATCCTCATCAAAATCCCAATCACAACCGGCTTCACTTTTTGGGACTGTTAACTTAGGTGATTTTTAAATGCAAACGTTGTATTATGTGTATATTATGTGTGAACTTTTAACATTTTCAGTTAGACATGTATTAGTAACTTGAGTTTGAACATTGCTATGATATGTTCAATTGTTATCACTTATTAGACATTCATTTGACTATCGCAACGCGAATATGACTATCGCAACACGGAAATGACTATCGCAGCGCGGAAATGACTATCGCAACGCGGAAATGACTATCGTAACGAGAGAATCGCAATGCGAAATGAAAATCGCAACGCGAATTTAGTTTCTCGTTGCGATTTTCATTTTCGCA